CATAACCGTCGATCGTATATAATTTTGAAAATTCCGGTGATCAATGTCAGGGGAGTGTACGTACGTACGTACGTACGGTTCTTGTAACTGTACTGAGATTTAAACTATAGGTTTAATAAAACGTTCCAGACCCCAAAGTGATCACCTTAACAAAAAAAAAAAAAAAAGTAAATCAGCCAGGCTGGTGGTTAGCAAATTTCTATAACAAAAAAAAATATGTACAAATCGTTTTTGACCCATATTAGATATGCTTATCATTATTATTGGCACGAGTTGTAAACCCGCTACTTTTTAATTAGGCCACACAAATTTATATCTTGGTTTTTATAGCATGAAACTTTTTAAACAGAACTGGCCGGCTTTTTTTTTTTTAAATTTCATATTTAAAAACTTTTTTACAAACTCACCCGGTTATTAAAATAAAACGTATAACAAATTTTGACCCGGCCGGGTTATGAAAACCAATTAATTAATTTTGCATAGTCTTAAGACTTATTAATTTTTAAATCCTTAAACTTTATTGTCAAGTCTTACTGTTAGTAATTTTAAGTTGCCTCAAATAGATAAATTGGATTATTGTTTCTCTGGATTACTAAACGACAACTAATAGCTTAAAAAAGCGAAGGTGGTGTTCTTAACATTTCAAAACATATAACACTTGAAAATTTTGAGCATGCACAAATTTTTCCAAACAAGGCATTTCTTGTTCTAGAACAAGCTCGTTCTCTGAAGCAAAAGCATGCTTTAGGACCTATGCAATGATTTCCGATCTCATTACATAATGCCTACGTACACGGCTTGCTTCGGAGAATCGCCGTAGTAAAATCTTATTACCGTAATAACATCAATATTTATCAATATTTGATTTACTAGATTTACTCAAACAATCATTGCATAAACACAAAAAAATAAAATCATTCCTTTAATAGTCGTGGTATCATTTCCAGATATTTATATATATAATAAACTATTAATACTTTCATGATTCGAACATTTTGCTTGTTAAATTTTCTTGCCTACCTGCCCCAAAAAAACTCCAAAATTTTTGCGTCGAAATGATATACCACAGGAATGATCTCAATGATGAAGCAAATACTACAAGTTGTCAAAATAAACTCTAAAAAAATATTTACTAACAGCGGTAAAATATGCACTGTGACATTTCCGAATTATGCATTCCTATTACCGAAAGGTACCCATCCGGAAATCGCTAATTTTAAGAAAATCATTAATATCAAATCCAAAGTTCAAATAATAAAATACGATAAATATAATGGGAATTTACCATTTTTAATATTATACCATATACCCTTAGGTTCTGGTGCCGATTGTTGATTAGGTGTCTCTAAATTATTATTTTCATTAATTGATTCAACTTCTTCCGCCAAGAATAAAGGTATTTCTTGATCATCAGTTTCTTGGTCAACTAGTTGAACTACTTCCATTGGACATTCGTTGACTGCTCTTTCTTCAATCACCATTAAATTTTGACCATCCTCAAATTCTTGTTTAATATATACTTTTTCTCGTTTAATGTTTACTTTTTCACTATCATTTGATGATACCACTCTTTCTTTTCTATTAGCTTGACGTGCGGATCGCCTAATGGTTGCATTTTGTATATCGATTTTTCTTGGTTTATATGGACCTCTTTTATACGATACAATTGGAGTTACTTGATTTTGAGATGGAGTAACTTGATTTTGAGATGGAGTTACTTGATTTTGAGATGGAGTTACTTGATTTTGAGATGGAGTTACTTGATTTTGAGA